CTTTTCTTTCACCAACCATTAGCCCACAAGTTCCCTATGAAGATCACTCCTTTTGTTTTCCTCGCAATATTGTAGAAAGCAAGATACGTGGCAAACACAGGTTTTCTTCCCCCCTTATCACATATAATCGTTGTAATGAATCCTCCCTTCGAATATTTCTTGAATATTTCCATGAATATCTTCATGAATATTTTCGTGAATATTTTCATTAATATTTTTTGATTATTTTTTTAAATATCTTTTCTTTCACCAACCATTAGCCCACAGGTTCCCTATGAAGATCACTCCTTTTGTTTTCCTCGCAATATTGTAGAAAGCAAGATACGTGGCAAACACAGGTTTCCTTCCCCCCTTATCACATATAATCTTTGTAATGAATCCTCCCTTTGAATATATCTTGAATATTTTCATGAATATCTTCATGAATATTTTCGTGAATATTTTCATGAATATTTTCATGAATATCTTCATTAATATTTTCGTGAATATTTTTTGATTATTTTTTGAATATCTTTTCTTTCACCAACCATTAGCCCACTGGTTCAAGCAAGATACGTGGCAAACACAGGTTTCCTTCCCCCCTTACCACATATAATCTTTGTAATGAATCCTCTCTTATATATATATATAATATTTTCATGAATATTGTTTGAATATTTCTTTGAATCTTTTTTGAATCTTTTTTTGAATCTTTTCTGGATTTTTTGGGATTTTTTTTTTGGAATGTCTTGAATATTTTCTGAATGTTCTTTTGTTTTCCTGGCAATATTGTAGAGAGCAAGACTCTGAGACCGCAAACGTGATCTAGATTTTATTAATAATATCATTAAAAGTTCCCATCGCTTGTCCAATGAAAGGAGTTCAGGCCTCCCTCAAAATGATCTTTATATGCATAAACACACCTACGGCTTTCAGGACAGCAGCTTCACACACGTGCTGAGTAGTTATTGATTTTATTTATTGAATTCTCTCCACCCCCCTTTTATGAAGCATTCCGCTGCTACGACAAAGATGATCTCAGAATGGTTAATTATAAGTGAAGTAATCAACTGGTCACACTCAAGTATTTTTCGCTCTGTGTTGATAATCAGATCAAATCATTATTTCTGTCACTATGAATCGAGCACAGAGACTGAACTTGTGCAGACTTGTTGCCAATCAAGAAGAAAGCGAGAAATTCACGATTTCCAGATTATCACAGATGTGACCAGGGAAAGGAGCCATTTCATCTTTTAAATCTATAATCTGTCTCCGGGACTAAAGCAGTCAGTTTCTCTGCTCACACCCCCACCCACCTCCCCCCCCCCCCAAAAAAACTGTCAAGGTTTGACAAATGTTTGACCCTCAACTGTTTAGGGCAGCAAAGCAACATCCCGCAGCACAGGAGCTTTAACGATGTGTTGAAACAGGAGAGCCGGCAGAGCTGTCGTAATTACATTACGCACAATGAGATAATTAATGAGGTGGTCTCTTCCGCGTGGTGTTTTTACTGCTAGTGCAGTTAATGAGCTACACTGCAGAGCCTTTTCTTCTCTTCTTCACATAGAACCCTCAGGTCTACCGTCCCACAGTTGAACACGGGCTCCTTCGAGCCACCTCTCCTTCCCTCTCGGGACGTGTTGTGTATTTGACGAGAATTGGATGGCTGTCTCTGTTTGCTTCATAAAAGCTTCTCCCCGCTGGTGTTTAATGACAAACAACAAGCATCCAGTCATATCCTGTTACCCATCCCCATGATAAATTGAGATTACCCCGGCGACATGGACGGGGGCGTCTGCTCCGCCAGATGCAGAGCAACCACTTCAGACTGCATGGGACTTGTTTTAATCACCTCTCGGAAACCAACAGCATGTGTTGTCGGGTCCAATCAAACTTTTCAGAGAAAACCCTGTGACCTGCAGCGAGCAGCGTGAGGTTGTGAGGCGCTTCACTTCTTCAGTTCATTCACAGGGTTCGTTTGACCTACAGCACATACGCAGCTTTTTTAAAAGGGTTTTCTGGTTTTTAGCTATAATCTGCCTCTACTTTATGCAGAGGTGAAGCACATGTCACATTGCTTTGGGTGGTTGTATTTCTGCACAGTTGTTGATTTCCAGAGAAATAAACGTGCATTCCCCTTTTGAACCCAAGTGAATATTCACTCATCATTATATCATATGTTGATTGTATATAAATGTCCATTTTTCAATATTTTCCAATTAAGACAGAAATTATGAGCCCATTAAATGCGTCTTACTAGTTACTTAACTGATAAAGATGCAACAGTAATACTCAAGTAAAGAACAAGAACCTGAAAATAGGTACTCAGTTACGACACTATCACCACTATACTATACTATATGTATATTGAGAAAAAATCTGAATTAAGTGGATTCAGGCTGCTGCGATTTTAATTACAAGCTCTGCCTCATGAAGATCATTTAAACATCCAGCTCCATCTCTCGTCCTCCACATGTGACACGAACATCTTGAATCTTGAGTTGTCTCTGCCGAGCGGCAGCCTGTGATTCCTCCGTCTCAGCTGCACCTCTCGTTACCCCACGTCTTACCCAAACTCATTACCGGATAATTGAAAGTGACGACTCTGATTATGAGCAGCGCTTGAGCAGAATCCCGCGGGGTCTTTGCAATTTACCAGGCGACAATGACATGCGGATGATGCTGTTGTCGACCAATCCAAAGGGGAGTCGTGGTGTTAACGGGCAAGAAGAAAAAATTGTATTGTGTTGTGAATCATTATTTTGTTGTGTATCAGCACATCTGTGTCGAGGTCACCAACGCTGAAAGTTTGCTTTCTCCGTGTTTGACATTGTACTTTTGTCACAGAAGCATTGGCAGATGGACGTTGAACTCATTTCAGTAAAACTCTGCTTTATTAAAGTCAAGTTATAAACTATAGGATTATTTCTTCTTCTACCGCCTGCTAGATTATATCTTAACGTTTAGGACACCATTATCCCATAATAGTGTCCACGCTGAGAGGCGTATTAGCTAACATGAACTTGTCAGCAGCTGAGACTTATTATTATGTCAGTCTCCCAGAATAAAAAAGCAATAACTGCTTTATTCAGAAATCATCTTACGAGAAATCCTTCTCATTTTAATTCTGCCTCAGTGGGTTTAATGCAATACTGCTACAAGTGGAACGTTTATTAATATCTCTACCCCTCCCTCCCTCTCTCCCTCAATTTAAATTTATGAATCCAAAACAATGCATCGGTAGGAATTTTTAGCGCGTAAATACCCTTCCTCCCTTTGAGTTTCTGATGTATTTGAGAACTGCGTAGTGTTTGATGTGCGGTGGCCAGTTGTGTTTTGAGGGAAAATATGATTAAAAAAAATAAAGCTAAACCGACATCCTCCTGAGTGCTGGAGACAGAACACCCACTGGACAAAATGTCTCTGTACAACACACAACACACAATCAAATACGCAGTGAGTGTTCGTAGGAAGATAGTTCCGGTTTCTAAAAGAAGATTTTCAGGGCTCTTTGAGGATATCTTCTCAGTTGCCATAGCGATGCCGGCAGATGACCAACCATCGTCTGAGAGTTTAAGTCTGTCGCTGACAGAATTCCTCAGGTGGGAAACACACAAAAAGGCTTTCTGATGGAACACATTTCAGAGACCTAAAAGGAGGCCAATTCATCTTCTAATGACCTCGCTGCTTATACTCGCTGTACACTCTCTTTGTCCTCGTGCAACTCCCCAACAGACACAAACACGTTTGTCCCACCTGAGAAATCGCTTCTTCTCTGCAATTCTTCGCCTCTCTTTTCCTTTCTCTTTCTCTCAGACAGCGTTTCGCGTGATGCCTGATTCCAGATCTGAGGGAGCAGAGAACATCCCTGCGTAGTCAACCTCCTGCTGAGATCACCTTCACACTGCAGCTGCTTCCCAGAATCCATCAGACACAGAGGAAGAGTTCAGGGCGCGTTTCAGAGTGATTCATCTGTAGGTGCAGAAGCGGGACGCTGAGGTGACACGGGAGGTTTAATACTGTACCATATGTTCGCTGTGGTGTTAGAATTAGCAGAAAATAGCATTACTCTGCAGAATGCAGCTTGGGAAACGTTCATTCTTGGTTCACAGCATTCAGCCCCCACATGAACGCTTTGCCTTAACATGTTTGCCCACTTACACAGCTTTAATTTTCCTTCATAGCCGATAACATTAAGTGGTGCATGTGAACACAGCTCATGCCCATTTAAAATGAACTGGTTTGATTCTGATTTTCTTTAACATCGGGGTAATTTCAGCCCATGTAAGTAGTAATATCGCATGGTATTTTTCAATTATCCAGAAAAATACACATTATTTCTGGAAGGAAATGCTGCAATTGTTTATGCTTTAAGCAGAACGCACTAAATATGTTAAGGCATAATTGGACGAATAGGTTTTCCTGTTCTTTCTGAAGGAGCATTTTCCACCTTCTCAGATGTGCGTTTGAGCAAACACAATTAGGACCCTCGTGCTGACACTCGACGGCTGCAGAGAACAGGCTTCCACTCACTGCACGAGCCCCGTGTGTCGTGGTTGACCTTTCCTCTGTCCTGCATTGTCTAAACTGATTATAGTTTTTGACAGCGACTGACAGCAACTCCAGCAAACTCCTGCACTCTGACACAACGGCGGCGTTAAGCGGGTTGGTGGGCCGATGCCGTTCTCGTCTTCAGTGCCGCGTTCCTCACCGTCCTTGAACTCGTTTGCTCTTTGAGAGCTGCAGATAACTGCTATCTCCAGATGTGGTAATTGGGCTTTCAGAAAGAAGTCAGCCCATTAGAACATTCTGGTGGCTCGCTGGCGAATTAGACCAAAGCCTCGGGAGATCAAATGTGATCCAAGCTGACCTTCCCCTGATGTGGAGTCTGGGAACCTTACAAAGCCGGGCTGAACGTGCTTTCCCTGAAGGCCAGGAGGAAATACCACCACAATACTTCTAAGCATCCACAGAAATAACCTGCAGCTGTAACATGTGCTGCAGCAATTCACTCCAACATGTTTTGTTTAATCGTATTTAATTGTTTTAAAGACACAGAACATACAGTATATACATTAGATTCTACAACAACATCTGCTGGCACAAAGCAGCTCATTGTTCATTGGAAATAACCGGAAGTGAACGGAAGCCTGCGCCAGCACTTCACTGAAACTTGATATTATTTGACACCTCATCATTAAACTCGACAGTTCCTGTCATAACAGTCCATGAGAGACAGCAACAGCAGTCTGACGCTGCTAGTGGCTGTAATGTTCAACAAAATCACAGCTCCTCACATCAGAACGACGCGTGGCGTCCTGTCGTATCCGCGCACGGCGTGTTTCTTCATTTCTTCACGTTATGTTGAATAAGTGCGTCACTGACTGCTCACTTTACTTGATGATCTGCAGTATGCTACGCTTTACATTAAGTCAATTTTACTTGCATCAAGTAATGTTGAGATGCGCTATATTTAATTTGGGGGCATTGGGTTGCGTTAGGTTGCTTTCCTCTATGTAACCTTTAACACATCTAGTACCCGTCTTTATTACTATGCAGATCCTGCGTTTACACACTGACCTTCTTTGAGGCAGCGTACAGCACGTTCCGTTGACAAGTCTTAAGCCTCAAGAGTCGAGACTAAGAATGGAACGAGACAAAGGGGCCATCAATAGATCAGACTGTGCCCGATGACAGTAGATAAAGAAGTAGGTCTGAGAAGTGGCTCATAAAATACAGGAAACTGCAGAAACGTATCAGTATAACAAGCTAAGAAACTATCACGAGGAGCTGTGGCTGAGTGGAGGAGGGGGGTTGGTGACCAGTTTTTTCCATTTGGGCTCAATTAGACTTGATTTTCAAGAAGAGGACAGAAGGCGAACCAGGGGGGCCACTGGCACCGTCACTATGGCGACAGCGCTGATGGGCTGTCACGGGAGGAGCGGGGGAAATTAGGAGAGAGACGGCCAGCGCACATTCAGGCGCACACACACACACACACACGCGGAAATAGAAACGCACACACCGCCGCAGTTCAAGCAAGAAGACAAAAGACGGTAATGAGCATGCATGGAAGCATTCACATTCAACGTACTCCGCTTTGTAGATGCTTTTTTTAATGAGCAGTGTCTCTGAGGCAGAACGCTGCTCGGGGTCTACAGCTGACACAGAGGTCATCCCTACAGATAACACACACCTGGGCTCTTCTATTCCGGGGACACATTGGGATGAATTCCCAGAGAGAGAAGCAGATGGAAATTACAGTCGAGCGACAGATTCCCGCGGTGTGTTACGCATGTGCATGTTGACAGTCCAAATGTCGGAACGCCTTTTTTGGAGGTGGCCAACTGGCTTGTGAAGATCTTGACCCTGGCCGATTGGACGAGGACCCTAAGTTTGGAAGCGCGGCGGCGCGATGGATGTTGCTCATGGAATGCTTATAGAGAGGAAAATGCAGAAAGGAGCGATGTCTGTTATAGCTGGGTCATTTCAGACAAAAAACTAAAAACAACGAAAAAGAGAACTGCTGCTGCTACCATGTTATACATCGTGAAAGGCTCTTCATGTATCTATATATTTACTTTGTTGTTATATACTGTACATTGTGGTATTTTCTAATGCTTTGTTGCTACATACAATGCATTGTCCCGACCTGTAAAACTCTAAAACCATATTTCTTGTTGTAGAAAATGATTAACGCTACATGACTACCTGATAATATGGTGCACTAGAAATATCCAATTATTTACAATAAAGATAACAAATTTATAATGTAAGACGTTACAAAATCTTGTGCTTTAGGATTTGGAAACAAAAACACAAGGCAGGTAGAAAATAAATAAGGAAAAGACATTTCTACTCCTCTTATTTGTGCGTTAATCACCATCTTTTTACACCTTTTTAATCCCTACAAAAGTGAAAGAAGTAGTTCGACCAGTCAATGGTTTGCCGCTAATAACAGAACAGGAAGTGACCCGGTGAAGTGTTATGAGGGGATGAAGAAGAAGACGTCTCAAACAAACTGCTACATAGAGGTTTCTTTCTAAAGTTTCTCGTCGTAACACTGGCTGTTGAAAAAATTAAATGGTATGCATTGGAAGTTGGCAGGAAGCGCGAGGAACAGCCGGTTCGGGTAGATTGGCCCCGAATCACCGGCCTCACCACATCAGAGGAAGTTTACTCTGAGATGAACAAACACTGGAAAAGAGACACGACTCAAAGCTAAAGAGACACTGACTGATGAGTCCATTTTCTATGAACGGTCTAAGTATAGAACCACTAGCACCACCACAGGACAGAAAACACAGAAAGTGTCTGGGCTGCTGAGCGGAGCATCGGGGACTCCAGCGTCTAAGAAGCGGCCTTCGGTCACAACTCAAAAGCTCAACAGCGTGAGCCAGTGATAAGCCGTCCAAGTGTGTGCCGCTTATTGATGGTGTCCATTTCCACGGCCGGGGCCGTGAGCATCTCCTCCGTGGTTAAAGTAGGCTGACCCTCTTGGTCCCTGCGGAATTCATTATCACCTCCTCACGGCTTGTCATCACTGTGAAAAGCCTCCTAATGTCGCCCAGGTCACACACAGATCTCGATGGCCGTCGCCATTACCATCTGGCTTTTGTTCTTGTCCCGGCCTGGAGACTGGTGTTGTCCAGGGTCCTCTCTGGGGGACAGCGGGTCGGACAGGACGCTGCGTTTGAGCGGCGCCGGGCGCATGCAGGATGTCCCCGGGGGGGTGGAGGGCTCGGGGTGTCTGTGCGAGGAACGCGAGGACGCGGACGAAGTGCAGCTGCCGGCGCACGCCCCCGAGCTCGACCTCTCGCCTCTCTTGGCCCGGCAAGACGCCCTGCGTCTCAGCTCGCTGACCAGCTCGTACTTGACGAAGCAGAAGACGTCCTTGACCCCGCAGCGTTTGTCCGGCTCGGCGGCGAGCAGGCGCTGGAACATGCGCAGGGCGTCCTCGGTGAAGCGGCGCCACTGAGACGGGTAGGTCCCCGCGGGACACCCTGCTTTCTGCCAGCGCCGAAACTCCTCGTAGAAGGCGTCGGCCGCCAGCGCCGCCTCCCAGGGGAAGTTGCCCGTCAGCATGCAGAAGATCAGAACGCCGAACGCCCAGACATCCAGGCTGGTGGTCACGAGGAAGCCCTCGGCGCGGCTGGCGCGGCACACCTCTGGCGCCGTGTAGGGGATGGTGCCGCTCACCCGCTTCACGCGGCACCCCACGCGCCGGGTCATGCCAAAGTCGGCCAGTTTGATGCGGCGGCACTCGCGGTCGAAAAGGAGGACGTTCTCCGGCTTGACGTCCCGATGCACCAGGTTTTTACCGTGCATGAAGTCCAGAGCCAGACCCAGCTGCTGCATGCAGCGTTTGACCATTTCCTCCGGCAGACCCACCTGGGGAGAAGAGAGAGAACGAAACGAACGAAGGAGAATAGAGGTTTGGATAAATGCTGTCTAATATATGCAGTACATCGCGTGGGAGGCGATAGCAGGGGAAGGAGCTCGGGCGTGGGGAGGTTACGCTACAGTCGAAAAGAGGAGGTGATGGTGATACTGAGAGGTGGGACGAAGGAGCACGGCGAAAATCATAAAAGAGCCTTAAAGTTTTGAGTTCCGCTGCAGCCGTTTTTAATGAGTCTTCAGAAGGACCTTGAAGTCATGCACCCACCGCATCTACTGGAATAGCACTAACGCAAAGAGAGAGCGGAGACAAAACCGGGACAAAGACAAGTCTCGCACCCCAGGAGAGCTTGTTAAAAACTGCCTCCTTTGAACATGGGGGCTGATTGGAGCGGCTCTGGCTGAGGGAGGACGGGGATTGGTGGAAGGGAGAACGATTGCTTTACCTGCGGGGGGATGATGTCGAAGAGGTCCCCGGCGTGGGCATATTCTTGTCCAAACACATAGCTGTCCTCCGTCTCAAAGAGGACGTCCAGGACTTTGATAATGAAAGGGCTGCAGCTGAGTGAGCCGGTTAGGCTGTACTCCCGCAGGAAACTCTTGAGCTTAGTCTTGTTTTTGGTGACAAACTTGAGCGCCATTTTGGTGCCTGAAAAAGAAAAAGGAGAGGTTTACAACCAGAGAACCCTGGGTGAATGACAGCCGTTACATTCATTCATATAAACATGTGTTTCCATCACACAGATACAACCAGCTGTTCCAGATCGCAGCTGCGGAAACGTCGAGCATCTCTTCACATCGCTCTGCGAGGCTTCGTTATACCGCCTCCAAACGCTGACAGCTCAATAAACCTCCATTGTCTTACAACCCACGGATTAAATAGTGACCCTGAAGAATCCCTAACAAACCCTCGTGAGCCTTTGTAGGCGTTACAACATCTGCCCTCAGCTGGTGGGAAACGCTGGCAAGATGCTGAGACCCGAACGATCCCGACCGCACGACAGTCCAAAGCGCGACGGGCCGCGACCTTGACCGACTCACCCTGCGTCCGGTGCTCCACCAGGTCCACCTTGCCGTACGTGCCCTTCCCCAGCTCGCGGATGTGCTCGTATTGTTTGGCTACGTCTGCTGCTGACAGAGAGGTGATGGCCAGCGCCTGCATGTCCTCCACGGGCGCCCCTCCGCAGTAGCCCACCTTGGACGTGGGGGAGCCCCCGGCGCTGCCCGCCCGCCCCGGCCCGGAGGGAGAAAGGGACAGGCTGGCCTTGACGCTGTGGGGCAGGCTGAGTGAGGAGGAACAAACATCAGGTTCACATCTGCTTTGATGACGGCACGTGACATTAGATAATGGTGAAGAGTAAATACAGTATATATATATATATATATATCTTTTGATTTGCTGGACAAAATGTGACAAATACAAGTTACAAGAAACAAAAAGTTTGTATTATAAATATCTGAGACAGAATCCTCTTAAGTTGGCGCTCATCCTTTACGTATTTTGCGTGGTCTCCAAAACCTGTTCGTAAAAATGTATACGAAATTCTATTCTTACAAGTTAATATTGCATTTCTAAAAATGCAATCATAACACGTTTATTTTACATGGTTAGACTTCACGAAGTGTGTTTACGGGGCGCAGGTCCCCGTTCACTCAGAACAGGGTGACGTCATCAGTTGCAGTGCGTATTTATTCATATGTATTGTTACAAATTTGTATGTTCAAGATTTTCGTATACATTTTTACGAACAGGTTTTGGAGATCAGGCTGGTATTTTGTCCTATTTTATTTAGTTATTCTTGTCCTTGCATTGTGTCCCAAAGGCTGGTGGAATCAGGAAGGCTTTAACAGACCTTCATTTCCATACAATGAGGTTGCTCAGTAAATGATCTGTCAGTAAATGCTTTGGACTCCCTGCTGTCCCTCTAGATCACTGCGGCCCGCGGCTGTTCTCAGACAGCACTTACTGGCAGACTGCTATAGGAAAATCAATGCAACCAGGTAGAAGGACAAACAAATGGAAATAAATGGAGAGCCGGCAGCGCCGTGGGATATAAACGCTGGTAAGGCATGGCATCATCTGTCAGCATTCATTCTCATAGAGTACATTTCCCAACAGTTGGTGAAGACAGTCGAGTTGTGAGGAAAGAGGTTGCTTGGAAACACATTTGCTTTGCACAGTACGTATTTCAGTCTAAAGGTGTAAAGCTGTAGGAAAGATGGAAATGCTGTAACAGAAAAGTTATTGCTGAATGTCAGAAGTGCAAAAGTTTGAAATCAAAGGTCAAACTGATCCCAGGAGGGAAAATACAGCCGCACACTAAATGTACCAACCGACCAGACTGCAGGTGAGCTTCTGTCACCGTCATCAAGCTCATCAAACTGTGCAAAATGGACCTTTGGAGGAAATGAGGTGGATCCCGCTAATCTCAATCAAACGTCATCATGCAATCATGCGCAGTGCGCACACAAACACACACAAACACACACAAACACACACAAACACGGGCCCACTAATCAAATCAGCACAAACCATTTTTGCTGATGGCTTTTTTCATCAATCATTCAAAGGCAAGCGCTTTGCACTTTGTTCCCCCCGCAGCCAGTTTCTCAGAACCGCTGGTTCAAACCAGAGCATCGCAAACGTGTTGACTGACAGGTGTCGTTATATACTGTGCAGTATAGAAAAGGTGTGGAGGTTCCTCAGCTGTCTTGTAGGAGGATAAGGTCACATGTAGCTGCAAAACATCGCTCTCAACACACGAAGAAGAAGATTCTGCAGGTAGAACGTGTGTTTCTCTGTAGCCAAGACATGCTTCTAGATTATCAGTGAGTCGCTTATATAAGAGACTGTGAATTCTGTAGCCTACTCAATGTGCCCACCGAGCAGCCTACAATCAATATCAATATCCAGGTTCAATGATTGAACACTAAAGCAAGACAGACACACGGACCGGGAGCCCATTTCCCCTGACAACCCCACCCCCTTCCGTCTCCCCCCCCCCCCATAGGCTTTATCAGCAGCAGCAAAGCAGAGCGAAGGGAGCGCGTGTTTACTGGCACTTCCTCCAGTCGGCTCCACAGGCAGAATGTGCGGCACGGATCTTAATCACATTGCTCCGCTCCCACAAAGACAAAAGCAAACCCGACCGCCTCAGCCAACAGTGCACGGATGCCTGCCACTCGTTTCCTTTGCAGAACTGAATTAAGAGTTCTGAAATGTGGCGAGTGGGAGTCGGTGCTCTCCCCCGTAGCTGGACTGATGCTGTCAGTGTGAACCACAAACTGCAGTGTAGTGCCCTGGAGGTGTGGTGATCAAGTTTTGTGCTGGGATTGTTGTGTGTGAGACGGAGGTGGGGGGAGATTGGAGAGGGGAGAGGGGAGATGGGGGTGGTGTGGGGGGTGCAGGGAGGTCTAGTGTGACAGTCGCACACTGACACTCAAAAAGGCCCTTTGTGCTCCTCTGAGAGCCAGCAGCTGCAGAGCCGCAGCGTTCGACCACGTTACCCACTGATCTCCCCCGTGCTGCTCCTCTCCTCTCCTCTCCTCTCCTCTCCTCCCCTCTCCTCTCCTCGCAGAAGATGATGTAGCTCGAGGCACATTGCAATGCCGTCTTTGAGGCGGTCCCACTCACTGTCGATCATCTATGTGCCTTTTTCGCAGACACGTCCCACTTTATTCCTGTAACGTTTTGCAATGTTCAGCTTGCACCTCGAAAACGTCGGCATTTGTTCGCTCGTTCTAATCGCGACGAAAGGTCTCCTGACAGTTTTTGACAACCGTTGTCAGTAAATAAACAAAATAACAACGATTGCCTGAAAACAAGACAGCTGCGGCGCTCTGTTTACCTGCCACTAATTCCCCTCAAATACGGAACGTCTATCTGGTCCATTTAACAATTACTCAAATAGAGCTGAGGAGATTCGCAGTACAACCCTCTTAATAAAAGCAGGTTGTTCCCAGAAAAACACTCAGCTTCACGTCCCAATAGACGCAGCGCCGGTCTGGAAACCCGCTGGGCCCGCGAGACTCACACATGAGATTAAAACGCAGAAGCAGCTGACCTTTTCTTCTACAAACACCTATTTGGAGATGAGAAAAGAGATTTATCCCGTGACGCAGGTGACAACCGTCCCTCTTTCTCGCGGACCGCTTCTTGACAGCCTCGGGCCGTGATGTCTGACGGTTACACCGGTGAATTGGTGTCTTTGTGTGGACCCAGGTGGCACAAGTTGCATCTGTTCTCGGAGATAAGCTCCACTTTTAGCCGCGATGGCAAATTGCTGCTGTGATGCCTTGTCAATCTTTGTCCACTTCTTTGGTCCAAACTAAAATATATCACCAGCTGTCGGATGGAGATTTGGGGCTATTGGACGCTATTGTTAAATGTTTTCATAGGGGGTTCAGACCTGAATACATGGGCCAACACAACGATGAAGAATTGGTCAATGGAGTTTAAGTGGTTTCTTTGTCTTTAACACATTTCCCCCCGACAGTTTCCTTCCTCCTCTCCTAGTTCTCTCTTGTCTGTTCTCAAAAATGTAAACAAGGGACTAATGAAAGAAAGAGATAGACTGTGGAGCCTGCTTCACGTCTCTCTATACTGCTAATGGACCGGTTGCTCTGCTCTCGGCAGGAGAGTCATTACGGGTGAAGACTCATCTCTCGTGTCCAATTTAGCGTCGAAATGCCCGACGCGCCTCGCCTCCGGGTCAAAGTGAGAACTGTGAGTTAAATATGATGTGATCGAGGTGGTTTCTCCCACTGACGGAAAGAAAACAACTGCAGTTATACACAACACAGATGCATCTATGTGACCCCCCCTTTTCCCCCCCCCACACACACACACACACACACACAGTGCAGACCAATAATAAATCACTGCGATCGGAAACAATCTGTCATTCGATCACAAACGAAACGGGTTCCGTCGTGCTGCTGTCAGGACACTCTGTTCCTTATTCAGGGGCAAGAAAACAGAATCACCTTTTGGGGAGTAGGGGGGTTTAGAGCCCCCCCCCCCCCGCTGTGCTGTGATAGGTGGACCCTCGGCTCGGACCGCGGGTCCGCACTACGACAAATGCCTCGCTCTCAGCTCGAGACTGGAGTACCGTGCACACCCGTGCCCGACTCTCCCCTCCCCGTCATCCCTTTCTCCCCCGCTATTGTTTGCCTCACACCCCTGCTGACCATCAGCCTGCCGGGATGAACTAAAGCCCGAGAAACGGGGATAATCCAAGGTTCCAGGGATCAAAACTCTGACTGGAAAGGGAGGAAAGGAGGGACGGAAGGTGAAAGGACACTCGGCTCTTGCGATGTGATGTAATGGTGCTGGGACCACAAATGGCCGATAACGACATTAAAAACAGGCCCATTGACAAACCAGAAAAAAACATGCCAATGCAGAATAAACACGACTCCTGTAAAAACATCTTTTCAGCTTGAACTTTCACTGCAATAATGGAATAATCCACCTAATCTCTCACAATCTAATAGCCCCAAGTTTCAGAAGAGGGGTATTGTGTGACGAGGGAAGCGGACGAAGAGAGAGAGAGAGAGAGAGAGAGAGGGAGAGAGAGAGAGAGCAGGACTGGGTGAAGTGAGACTGAATTGAAGCACCACCACCCCCCCCCCCCCCCTTCGTCCCACATGCTGTAACTCTGTCCCTTTGATGCCAAACACATGGGGAAATGGGACTCTATTATGAGCTCAGAAAATGGGGTCTGAAAGGGGGGGGCGTGGCTAAATGATGTCGGAGCTAAGGAGGACGCTGCTTTTTTTTTTTTCTTAGACCAATTCGCCCCCCACCCCGAGGCAAACAAACAGAATACGGTGATTTGTGAGGCCGCTCGCGGCCTCTAATGGAGGCCTCAGAGGCTGCAATTACCCCCACTCACTCGAATTAAATTCCTAGTATGCTTTAATTGCTTGACCGGATACGAGTTATCGCTGCAAAGGGAAGTGCGACGCGACAAACCACACAATACGGAAACAAAAACATACCGTTCACAAGCCAAACAGACGATGTCTCTTTCTCACGGTGTCGCCGTCAAATGTTGTTGTTTGCTATTGAAGGGTGTTGTTTCTTTAATCGCCCCCCACACGGGTTGTTCCCTGTACGTTCTAATTGACTGTCTATAGTAATTAGAGATAACTCCTGTTCTCTGGGCAGCCATGTTTTCCTGCAGCAGACTGTGTCTGTCGAGTCTGATTTCCTCTCATTGAACTGATTAAAATGTTGTTGTGACTATTTTGCCGGTATTCACTGTAACATGAGTGTGTGTCTTTCTGTAAGTTGTGTGGCTCTGTGAGGGGCAGTGATGGGTTTAGACGTGCCAGCCGTTGAAACGGGTCCTTGTCTGGAATCTGTTGAAGCCGTACGAATACGGTCCGTTTATTTGTGGTCTGTGGCGGCAAAATCAGTTTGGGATATTTTTGATTAATTCAAAGGTGGATCGTTTGAGGGGAGATTTTTGTTTTGGGGACGGTCCCAGCTTGTATGCAGATGTGTTTGAAAAGTGGAGCATTTTCTACCCCGGCGTATATTAATTGTGATGATTGATTCAGGCGCAACTATAAGAATTATAGCGCTTTCTGTCTGTATGCGTTTACAGTGTTTTGGTGCCATAACACACCTGCTGCCGGCCAAGCAGCTTTGCACTAATCATTTTACTCGAGGTCCTAGACTTCCCCGTCACAGGATGTGTGTCTGTGTGTATTAGAAGCTGTTCCCTCTTGTTTACAGTCCATTTCCTGCAGGATTGGCCTTCAGAGGCTGTGCTCTATCGCAGCCAGCTGCTCATTGAAATGCATTGGCCTGCATTGACGATGAGATATCACCTGTCCGCGCAGGACACAGTATAAAAGGGTCGTTAAAATTGGATTTCCCCGGATGAGCGCGTGTCCATCTTGCACAGATCGGAGAGTTTTACGAGGATTGTGGCTGAAGTGTAGACGCAGCTCGACCATTAACTCCAGTGAGAGTTAATCCTCGGTGGTAAATGCAGCTGCATTACTGTGTAACTTTTTGCATTTGTTTCTTCACAATCATCAGAATTACACTAAAAAACACTTAAAATGCACTAATACCAATCTGAACTATATTTTTTAATGAAAAAAATATATATATATTTATGATTTATGATTTTGGGGGCTTTTGTTTCATCGGGAGGACTCCCTCACCTGCTGGCGACCTGTCTCTCTCCTCCATGGTCCTGCATCCGCTCGGCGAGGAAGAGCCGCCGCGCTCCGGTCCGCAAAGAACCCGATCGACAAAGTTGAGGTATCAAGGGTGCGCGCTAAAAAGCGCGTGCAGATCCATTCAAAACCTAAAGAAAAACAAAACCGCTTTCACGGGATGGAAAAGCTCGGATGAAGATCTCGTCCCCGGCGGAAGCTCCTCAAAGCAGCATCTGGTACTGGAGGCTGAGATGAGGACTCGGGCTGGGATCCCTCCCGTGAGCGCGCACCATCTCGACCTGCGGGAGGGGGGGTTGCGTGTGCGTGCGTGTGCGTGTGTGTGTGTGTGTGTGTGTGTGTGTGTGTGTGTGTTTATCTCCCGTTCCACCAGCGGTCCGCATGACCCAGTTCAGCACCGCACACTGAGGCGAACTCATTCACTCGCATCCACGCACTCAGCAAAACACCCCCCCCTCCCGCCGATCGTGCCGCATCCCCTCTCCCCCCGCGCACTCTGCAACACGCACGGACCACATCCGTCGCCACTCGCTCTCCACAGCGGCCGGTCGCTCTGCTCGGTCCGTCGGTCCAACTCCTGGGGGTGAGGAGACAAGTGTGTGGTGGGGGTGGGGGGTGGTGGTGTGTGGGGGGCGTTTGAGATCCTGCTCCTCGGCTGCCAGTCAACTCCGTCTTTGCTTCGCCATCTCCGCCCTCTGGCTCACGTGTCCCGGGTCCTAGCGCCTGGACGCGCGCAACAAACCGGCCATTCAGCCCCAATGCGTCCGCGAGCGTTTTCCCACCTTTTTTTGGATTCCAGCTTTGATGGAATGGAATAACAAGCTGCACCCCCCCCCCTGCATAATTCAGCAGCTTATGGCCTCAAGTTGTTCAAGCGGTGACTTTGCCAACCGTCCTTATTAGGTAACAGCTTAACTGACTTTCAATTAATTCAGTGCCCTGCACATGTTTAACGACAGGCCTCCTGCCAGACTAAACCTCAATGCATCTTCAGCAATCAACACTCAGATGGGTTGGAGGCGTCTGCTCACATAAGATAAGGTAAAATAATGCATTGTTGGTGCAGTAAAAATAAGAATTCCCTCTAAGTGTTAAATACTACACACAGATGGTATACTGAAATAATAAGAAGATCCTCATGAAGATTTACAAGATACATTCATATGAACAACTTATTTCTATTGGTCTTATTTGTTAATTATTTTGCATCAGTGCATGTACCTTTTTTTCTGCTTTATCGGAGATGCCGGTGAGGCTCACTCTGAGGGATAAACACTCGTCGAGCGGTCATGTTCGGGGGTGGATATTGAATCGCTGCATTTTTAGTGGCTCTTTGGGACGTTCAGGTGTCTCACACAGACGGGTTAGGCAGGCGAGGAGTTTCCTTGGGGTCATCTTGAAAACGGAGCCATCATAAATCTCAGCCAAGGTCACTGTGGGCTGCCGTGCTGACGCGCCACGGGTCAAAACACACCGCGGGCTGCTGAGCTGTGAACAAATAGAGCAGGTCTGCTCCCCCCCTCCTTCTCCAGCACCACGCGCGTCCTAGTTTTCACTTTTTATGTGTCACCTCAAGTTCACCACGACTTTTTGCAAATGGGTGGCCTTGTTTTTTTTCACCCCCTCTTCTCAAAAGTATCTTCACGCAGAGTTTAAGTTTGTGTCCTAGAAACTGCGTTGTCACAGTGGACGGATGTTAACACAGGCCTCAAGCTTTGGTCTCTTAAAGGGTTTGGACTTTCTGGACCACAATTAGATTCAACTTGTGTTTCACCCCAATCTGTTTTTAGAACAGGGTTATAGAGTTAGGGAGGAAAAAACAGTTTTAGTCTTGTTCTCCGTGGACGACAAATGATTATGCTGAAAACCTTGAAAGTGAATGCCTTAAGCTGCCACAGCACCACAAAGCACCATTAAGATGTCAGAGTGTACCACCGTCTGGGGATTTCATCATTAGGAAAAATGGGAGGAAAGAATAATGTCAGTAGTTACTTAAAAAAGAATCTTAAACACTTTGTCACATGAAAAGAAAATCCAGTAAATCTCCGGAGGATGTTGCCAACGTTAAAAACATGTAAAGTTGAAACGGATTTGTTTTTACGTTAGAGAGCATGTGGTGAGGCCCTCATAGCTGCACCCCGGTCCTCACACCTCCAGACACGAGAGTGACCCTCCAGCAGCAATCAGCCCTCCTCTGTCACGAATAGCCTTCTTTCCCCTCTGCCTCCTTCCCTCTTTCACCCGCTCAGTCTCACCCGGCTCCCCAAAGATAGAACAGCAAAGTCCTTGAAGCAGAAAAAGCAATTTGAGGCCACAATGTCTTTGTTCTCATGACAGTTTTATTCCCAATATGTGTCAAGAACAATTGTAAATGTAATTGAGGGATTATCTTGGTTTAACATTGCTGTTATTCCCCGAGGCAGCAACACTTTCGCGCATCCCAGAAGTAAAAGCCAGAATGTATGGTAATGTTTTTTGTTGAAAGAGAAACAACAGCGACTACATTTATCTTGATATATTGAAGCACTAAGATGCTTAAGTGTGTGTGTGTTGTTGTTGAAAGAGTAAAATAAAACACACGATTAAAAAAAAACACTAAAATTCTTACAGTTCTACATAAAAGTGTGTCTGTTAATTACAAATCTCGACTATCGCTCGTTTTGGACGTTCACTCTATTTCGCACTGCATTTCCCACAATGCCTTTGGGCTTCACGCTCAGCTGATGACGCTTAACGTGTGCGCGGTTAACCTTGTCACCGATGCGCAGTGTTATCGAACCAAAAGGTGGAAACAGGGTTGGAAACAGTTTTGAATTCTGTAACTTAAATGCTGGCTGCATTTCCCGGAAGAAATGAGCAAATATATTTTACCTGTGTCTGTTTTCGGGACCGTGTTTGGAGCCGCTGCTTTACTGAAGTGAGTCGTAACGCGCCCGCTGTCTCATGATGTAACTTAACCAGGTAGTTTTAACAATTATTTTCGTTTTTGTGTCACATCTGCTGCTTTTACATAAAACACACAACATGTGCATTCATGTAACTTTTTAAGGTTTGACAGATAGCCTCGTTATGTCCAGTTATTAAGTTAATTAACGTTCACAACGACATCAGCTCAGCTACACAGATGTGCTTCACAAAGGCAGCAACAGAGTGATTGTATTGTATTTATTAGATTGTAAATATGTTTATGACGTTCTGAGTCAATAAGACAACTGGTGGCCAATTCTGGGTTCTTTGTCAGTTTGATAAAACACAATTCAACATATAAACATAAACCCTGAATATTGAAGATCTATAAACTAGATTAGAATGTCTTCCACCAGGCCGGGTGGTGATGCTGACGATGTGATGGCTCTGAAATGTGATTCCTCCCATAGGAACTATGTGACTGGAGGCCGGTGTCCCAGTAAGGCTACCATCAACGGGAAGACCGTGGTCGTAACAGGCGCCAACACGGGCATCGGGAAGGAGACGGCCCGAGAACTGGCCAGGAGAGGTGGGGGAGGAAACTGGTGCCAAACACCCCCGTCCCACACACGCGTAACCGCTTCAGCAGTTCTTTTGCTCTCAGTGACGCGCTTCTTTCCCCAATTTCGGCATCTTCAGGAGGTCGAATCATTATGGGATGTCGGGACTTGGAGAAGTGCGAGGCGGCTGCAAAGGACATAAGAGGGAGTACCTTGAATCCTAACGTTTACGCGTGTCACCTCGACCTGGCCTCCGTGAAATCCGTACGAGAGTTTGCAGAGAGAATCAAGCAAGGTGACAAAACAAAGCAGCTCACTGTCTAGTTATTAAAACGAAGTGCACTCAGCTACAACCTCTTCAACAGCAAGGTCCTTTTCTTGTAGCGGAGCAGCGTGTGGACGTGCTTATAAACAATGCTGGAGTCATGAGATGCCCAGCAGGGAAGACCGAAGACGGCTTCGACATGCAGTTTGGAGTGAACCACTTAGGTACCGGCTGTGACTGAACAAACCAATTAGACGGGCGGTGCAAATGAAGCCTCGCTCCCTCCATCGCTAACTTGTTTCTGTCTTCCCACAGGCCACTTTTTGTTGACAAATCTTCTGCTGGATAAGTTGAAAGAGTCGGCGCCCAGCCGAGTGATCAACCTCTCCTCACTCGCCCACATCGTCGGAAAGATTGACTTCGAGGACTTGAACTGGGAGAAGAAGAAGTTCGACACCAAGCAGGCGTACTGTCAGAGCAAGCTCGCCAACGTGCTTTTCACCAGAGAGCTCGCCAAACGATTACAAGGCAAGTCAACGGGCTGGCGTGGGCACGTGTGGGAGGGAGCGCGACCCACTGTTCTTGTTTGTCATCGGCCCGCGGTTGTGTATTCTTAAACGATGCCGCGTCTCCGCGACAGGCACAGGAGTCACGGCGAACGCCGTGCACCCCGGCGTCGTTGCCACGGAGCTCGGGAGGCACACGGGTCTGCACCAATCGCAGTTCTCCAGCTCCGTGCTCAGTGAGTACCGTGCTTTCTTACTGGATTCTGAATGTGGGGATATCACCAAATGCACATGCAATTTATTGACTATAAATTGTGGAAAAAGGTGCTGAACATTTTTTAACAATACAACCTTATATTATCTTCAATTGTCAACCAGCCATTTTAAAGGGAAATACGATAAAGACACAACTCTGCTTTCATGAATGTGTCTATAAATAAACCAAAATAAATGCCAGCATCTAATTTTTATAGTGCGATGATTTTTTAATACATGCACTCAAAGGTAATAAAAAACCTCTCCCCAGGAGGACCGTGTTTGTTATTGAGATGATGTAAAACATTATGAAACTCCAATGGCTTCAGGGATAGAGTTTTAAAACATGGTGTTCCTGCTGAGTTTAAATCAGCACCCTCCCCCCCCTGCCTCCCCACTCGCCCCACAGGTCCCTTTTTCTCCATGTTGGTAAAGAGCCCGGAGCTGGGGGCCCAGTCCAGCGTCTACCTGGCAGTGTCCGAGGAGATGGAAGGGGTGACGGGAAGGTACTACGACGTGATGACCGAAAAGGAACCGGCCCCCCAAGCCCTGGATGAGGAGGCGGCTCGCAGGTTGTGGGAGGCCAGCAGCGGGCTGCTGGGTCTGGAGGAGAGAGGACAACCCGTCACTTCAAAGCCCCCCACAGAGGTGCAGAGCAAAGGCGCACAGACCGTCCAAGAGCAGAGACACGGACGTAGGCCGGCTCTGGCCTCGGGGCCACCGGGGGGGATAATGGACCTTTTATAGCTTGAGCTGAGTGCGGCTCATGACACAATTAACCGTCTGAGTCAACGGCCTGAACAGAGACAGTCTTTGGTGCAAGCCTTGTACCTGCATCAGGATAAAAAAACTAAAACAAGACTGAATAATTTAAAAGAATAAAAAAAATACACTTGTTTCCTCACTAATGACCACAAACTCGTACTCACTGCTGCAGCCTCACTGGGTCTAGAATAAAAAACATTAGTCTAAGGTGACCAATGTTAGCTAGCAATTGCAACGTTTTAATAGATATTACAGCGTAACAATGGAAGCTTATAACTGCGGATGTACTGTATTAATGAGTCAAATTGTTCTGCTGCGTTTATGAGTCTCCACCTCTTATGACACCGTTAAAAATGTTTTTAGCATTTATCAGTAAATCAGTTATTTATTCTTACCTTCATTTATTTGTATTAATTCCAAAAACTTTTGAGCTTTACGTGAGGTTAAAAATCTTCCTTTAAAACATGAATATTTGGCCTCAACAAACATAATTAACAGAGAGAGGGAGGTTAATGCAGTTGTATTAAGATGTAGAGTACTGCAAATGTTTTTTAATCAGTGGGCTCAAGAAGAAAAGACAAACGGCGCCATCTGCCTGTTAGCATCAAATTACATTTCCTGTTCAGATCAAGTGCACATAACTGCCGACCATTTATCTCAATTTATTTCAAGTTAGTGAAATACTGTATTTATCTTGAAAGCCTTTGATTTAGGTTATTTAAACCTAGTAAAAAAGTCAGTTTGGTACATCGTATCAACATTATCTGCTTTAAAAAAAGAATGTATAAATGATACTATTTAATTCAGTGCAGATTGCATTTGACTGAAATGCCGTGAAAATCAGTCACAAGGACGCACAACCACACCTAGTTAAATTATATAACAATAAAACAATTTGTATTACAAAGCCAGTTACTTGCCTGTACCACATAACAATAGACTCATAGAAGCTAATAATGGCAGACATCTCCATCCAAAACATATGGGTTCATGTGAAAAAGTTCAGAAAACTAGAGGGTCATTTGAGGTCAAGTTAGAACCTTCGTGACGTAATGTATCGAGTATCCATTTCAATGTTCTAATGTTCTACTTTATGCTTTTCTTGTTCACTCCCCCACTTTGAAAAACTAATCAGGTTACCAAAGCACTCATCTTGCAACAGTGATACTCCCAGGCCTCAAGGCGCAAAGACGATTCTCCAACCAGTATTTAAGGGATCCATTGCACGTGGCTTTTTCCTACAGTAAATCCCAAAGTACCGATCAATAAGGTTCCACTCTCAGACTAATGCACACGGATCAGCCTCAGCCCTGAAACCGTAAACCATGGGTCGGTCATTCCAGGGTTGGAGGGAGATGTTATTGTAGATGAGCAACAGAATCACTGCTCTCTTTCTCCTCCTGTGCACTTACGATCATTAAGGGCCTTTCCATTTCTAGGAGAATGAATCAGATCGTTCCCGTCTTCTCTACTCCTGATGCTCTCATAGTAACAAAGCACGTTAGGAATGTTAAGGAAATTGCACTTTCTTGTTTCTTGTTCTTTGTATCCTCGTGGTTGAAATGCACTTATTGTAAGTCGTTTTGGATAAAAAGCGTCAGCTAAATGACACGTAATTTAACGTAATGAGCATGACATGTGTACGCTCTTGAACGCTACTTGGCCGGACTTCATTACCCACAATCCTCCGCGAGAAGACGGCGAAAAAAAGTTAACGTCCAAAGTGCAAATAGTTCCCTTCAGAAGAGACGCGGGTGGCGGATGAGGCCGAGACGTGAGTTGTCTTTTCCTCCTTGTCGTTTATACGCCGCGTGGCGTCGAAGAGGAGCTGCGCGCGGCTTGTTGCACTTTAACGGGACGCTAGCTAGCTAGCAGCAGCTAGCTTAGCTAGCGTTAACGCGACGTTGAGTCAGCGTTCATGCCCACGCAAACTTCCCTTCGCTTCAAGCTCGTGCAGACTCGTGCGCGCGCACGTGCACACGCACGCTTCGAATAAATACTTCAGATGGGCTTTTGAAGAGTGATATATTGATTTAAAAGACAGAAAAAACAACAACAACAACAACGATTTGTTTCGTGAGCTTCATTAAAGCGCTGCAGAGGACTAATTGGGTATTTCGGTCATTTAGTGCATCTTCTCAATGCCACATTGCACCGAGTTAATTATTCATATATTCATTATTCATCAGAATGGCAGAGCCGGAGAGAAAAGGAGAGCTGCTGCCCGAGGACGTTGGCACGGACGACTGCCTCACTTCATACACGCACATTTACAGTCCAGATTTACTAAAGTACGTGTGGAAGTGTGCATGAAAATGCAGCGCACGTTGCCTGCTGTTATGCCTGCTATTGTAATAACCCCGTGAAGTGACCTTTGAGGGTTTACACGTTCAACTTTCAGAGATCAGGTGGCTTTTATAACAGGTGGTGGATCTGGCATTGGCCTCAGGATAGCTGAAATCTTCATGAGGTGAGAGGACCACCCGCTTGTTTCTTTAACACTTCCAGATCTGGCAGTTATTTTACTATATTTAGCAGTTGCCGTCCTTGAATACACACAGACTTTATGTCATTATTATTACTCTTTAACAGTGGAATGTGTGAGCCTGATGGTGTGTGCTTACGTGCACTTTAAACCTTCTAGTTTTGTTATCTGACGGTTCAGACTTCCATCACTTTGGTTGCGTGACAAAGTTGAAATCAATCAATCAACAACTGACTCATGTGGCAGAAATGTGTGATCTTTTCTCCAAACCAGCAACACAAACTCTCTGTCATTTCACATGTGGATGTCCTGTTGTTCACGTTAATATCAACACAATACAGCAGGCGGTCACAAGTATTGTTATTGTTCATTTATTTCCTTTCAGGCATGGCTGCGACACCGTGATTGCGAGCAGGAATTTGGACAAGCTCAAAGAGGTGATTCTTCTTACGTCATTTCCGCAATCTTAAAAAAAAAAATACACTTTACATCGTGACGTAAAATGATTGTGCGTACGCCCAGGCGGCTAAAAAGTTGTCCGCCGCGTCGGGCCGCCGCTGCCTGCCTCTGTGCCTGGACGTGAGGCAGCCTCAGAGCATCACGGCGGCTGTGGATGAGACGCTGAGAGAGTTGGGACGCATCGACATCCTCATTAACAGTATGTCATCTCTTCGTAACCAGCCTCAAAGTGTTTTTGTGCTAATGACCCTCACGGCAACAGAGGTGTGAAGGCATTTTAAAGGGCCTCGAGGGTGAATATGTGTGTGACTGTACTTTGAACATGAGGTGAAGTGTGAAATATTGAGTTTAATCATCAACTTCCCTGATGCCGTATCAATCTTTATCTTCCGTATTTGCACCCTGGTCCATCTACAAACTGTTACATCACTACATAACATGTACTTATGTATGTAGTGACGTGACGTTTGTAACGTTACATATACAAGTTAAAGCTGCATTCCCTCTACTGACCACCAGGGGGCAGCTGTTCTGATCCTATAGACGTCTTTGAGAAAATTACTCTTTATTCCCTCAGTAAACATTGTGATCTTATGTCGTCAATCTCTAGTTTCTTCAAGTCTTCGTCAATACAGCTTAATGTTCATTTTGTAAATGGTGGTCCATTTAGAGTTAAACACCACAGACAGTCTGTAGTCAACACTCTTCATAATGACATAGAAGTATCACTAATTACCCACAATCCCTTCTGTTTGTTGTTGACAGATGCTGCTGGAAACTTCCTGTGCCCGGCCAGCTCGCTCTCCTTCAACGCCTTCAAGACCGTGATGGAGATCGACACCATGGGTACCTTCAACACCAGCAAAGTGGTTTATGAGAAGTGGTTCCACGTACGTTTCCTGTCTGTGTGACACAATATGTCTCAGGTCCATGGGGGCTAAATGGGATTTAATCTACTGCCCCTGCACTCTGGAGCCGATTAGATTAGTTACCCGTCGCATGGACTTTGAGTTTCCCATCATTTTTGCATGCAGGCTCACGGCGGGAACATCGTCAACATCTCTGCCACACTTGGATACAGAGGACAGGGCCTACAGGTCCACGCTGGCTCTGCTAAGGCGGCTAATGGTGAGCGCTCTCGTGATGTCATTGCAATTATATGAAAAATTGGAATCAGTACCTCAGTGGTGCCTCCGCTGTCCCCAGATGCCATGACCAAGCACCTGGCCGTGGAGTGGGGGCCCAGCGGGGTCAGAGTCAACAGTGTGGCTCCAGGTCCCGTCTCTGGCACGGAGGGCTTCCGCAGACTGGGTAAGAAAACACACTTAGCAAGCAATGTAACGAATAACACATTGAAATGGTTAGCGAAAACGAGAGACTACATTTTTTGTTTTTAATCCCTCAGGTGGTCCCAGGGGGGAGGCGGCCGGTCTGTTCCAGTCCATTCCTCTGCAACGAGCCGGCAACAAGACCGAGATGGCCCACTGCACTCTGTTCTTGGCCAGCCGGGCCTCCTCCTACGTGACCGGAACCGTCCTGGTGGCGGACGGCGGTTCGTGGCTGACCTCGGCCAATGACGTCTCCATGCTGCTGGGTATAGCCTCCTCTCAATCTGCTAAACTCTGAACAGGGGCTCTCTTGTCCTCCTCCTGACCCAGGTGTGTAGGGGGGGGAGGTGCAGCTTGAGGTCCATCTCAGAATGTGGCTGTGCTCTCTCTGATTTAGAGTTTTAAAGTAAAAGAGAATGTTTAAATGACATGAAAACCGTATAACCTTTATTAATTTACTTGTCTCTCTTATTTTCTTTCAGGTTATTGGTCATCTGAAAAGAAAATATAAAAGTAAATGCCGAAAATAAGAGTAATTTAAGCCATCTGCAGAAGTGATTATGCTCCATGTTCACCAGCACTAACATACTGTAAAATTACTTTTGCAATTGTAGTACTGGATCAATATATATAACAATCTGGAAACTGTGTATTGTCATCATGTACTTCATGTTTATCACAAACCATTCCATGTGATTTTTTTAGTGCTTTTCAACTATTATTAAACATGTATATTAATTAAAGTTTACTTTGACTGTTTCGTTTTTTTCTTCCCAAAGTGATAAAATCCGTATCACTCTTTCACAATAATTAAATACCACTTGATTGATTGCGTTCTGGGGGACTATGAACAAATTGCAAACTTAGGTATGCCACATGTTTCAAGTCAAAGTGTCCCTGAGCAAGACACCTAACCCCTAATTGTTCCCCGGGCAAAATGTGAAAAAGCCATGGGTTTAAAGTGTAATGTAAGTCACTTTGGATAAAAGCGTCTGCTAAATGACCTGTAATGTAAAAAGAGAAATGCATAAATAAAAGCTATCGGTCAGATGGGGGCGCCACAACATTACGATTTAAATTGCCCCCTCCTTCAATTCCCTGTCAGCTGAGAGATCCTCTGTCCGACCCTGACCTTTAACCTCGCGTTTAAAAGTCTCTGCAGGACTGCACACCTTCGTTTTAAATTAAAACTCAAACGTTTCGACCAACTGATCGATCCGATCGGCTCGATACTGCGGGGTGCTTCGTGCGCATGCGTGAAACGTCAGCGCTGTGTATGCGGCTGGAGGAGGAGGAGGAGGAGGATGGGACACACCGCTGATGCTGATGCGAGAAGCGGTCGTAGCTCCGTACCCAACATCGGTGGACCGACCGCGCGAGGACGGGGCGCCTGCGGTCTCGATTCGTGACGTCTTTTCCTTTTTCACGACGCAAATCGGGGGCGGCGGGACGTGACCCGGTGGTTGTCTGTTCGTCGGGACGAGGGACGACAGGAGGAACCCGAAGAGAGAGAGGGACGAACGGCTTCGCCTCGACTCCCCCTCCCGCCGGCCTGCCGTCGGGACACACAGGTGGATCGCCGCTGGAGAAAAAAAAAACAAAAAACAGAACAAAACAAAAAGAAGCGTCTCTTGAAAATGGAGACGTAGCCTCGGACCGAAGCAGAGGAAACCCCGCCTCCGAAGCGGCGTTTCAGCGGGACGCGGTGGCTCCTTATTCGGTCGCGTTCCGCCGGGAGGCTGAACTGGCTCCCGTGTTAGCTCGCTAACAGGCTAATCGCGCTAGCAGGTCGGCTAGCAGCCGACGGGCGGCCGTTGGGACGCAGGGCGCGGGATGCTCTTGTGAGGAGCCGCCGTGAAGTCCGCGGCTCCGCTGTCAGTTCGGTTGTGGGAGGTTCGACACCGTGGCCTTAGTTCGATTTAAGTGTAGATCAATTACTTGATTAGCTCGAGGGGGATCGGATTGGATAAGCGGCTAAGAAAAACGGCTAATGTTGACAAACAACCGGCGACTTAACGCGTCGATCCGCTGTTTCGTCCCGAGGAGAGACGCCGTCGCTCGTCCCTCAACCTCGGTTCGGTTCCGAGACTTTCGCCGCGGCGATGCGTCCGCTTCCGGGCCGAACTGAGGAGGCATGTGGACGTCGCGCGTCCTGAAGCGTGGATGTGCGTGGACAGAGAAGAGGCCCACAGCAGGTCCAAACATCTGGCCATCCAGAACATCTGGATGGCCGCTCCTGGAGTTGAGACAACTAAAACTATTTCTTGTTTGTAGAGATATCTAAATACCTAAATACCTACAACCTCATTCCATTTATATTCTGTTTTCCCCTCCACATTCCCGCCTGCCTTTTTCTAAATGTCAAAGTCAACATTACAAACGGCCTTTATTGATCCCACTCATGCATTGCGATATGTCGTCACAGGGCAAAGCCCCTTAAGAACATGGCATCAAAGTTGAAGAACTGGATCTTGACCACGGCAGTGAGGTAACGCACCGGTTTCCTGACGTTTGCAAAGTGGAGCGGCCACTCTGCGTGTAAATGGAGGCGAGCGCTCTGTCCGGCCCTCTGGGGCACTCGCAGTGGGACTCGGAACACGCATCTCCTCTCGGATTTCACCCACCGGGTTCAGACAATGGAGAGGAGCTCTGTCCCGACGAGGGTGGACAGACCGGTTTGGATTTCAGAGACGACGACGACCGGGCCCAAGCATTCCAACAAAGCGAAGGGGGGGGCATTTACCAGGACAGGCCAGTAGAGTTGGACAACCTAATAAATATGTTGGATTTTTCCTGTGGAGATGTGCAGTTTGAGGGGGATCAGTCCGAGAATTCCAAAGCTCCTCTGCATGATGCTTCTCTTATAGAGTCCGTCTCAGACGAGCGTCCTGAGCTACCTGATGAACTGAATGACTACGCCTTGTCTTGGCTGTTTTCTCCCAAACTCACCGACGTGGTTGGAAAAGTCACTGCGCGTGAGGACCCGAGTCTTACGCCGGAGGACCTCCTGGAGACCTCCAATGCCTTCAGTGCTCAGCTTATAAGCCTGAGTCCTCCGCTCTCCCCATCGAAACCCCCCGACAGGCATTCCGAGACTAACACGGGGGGCCCGTTTTTGTTGGTAGACCTCCTCTCAAATGGACTCTCTTGCCTCCCCCCAGAGTCCTCGGGTGAGTTGAACCCACAGGGTGTCAGTGAGGAGCTGGTAGACCTGTCACAAGAGGAGGGGGTGGAGGGGGAGGAGGAGGCAGGTCTCTCCCCCTCACAAAGAAAGGAGACTTTGTCACATGAAACCAGAGACAAAGGTTCATTCCCCGATCAAGTGACCGATCTGCCTTTAACCTGCAGCCGTAGTCAGCAAGGTTTACCGGAGAACCACCTCCCACCTGACAAAGTCCACACGCCGCCGCGCCGCTTGGAAGGATCTGTGTCTTTGTTGGACTTAAAGGTTCCGGACTGTGACAGCAGTCTGAGCCTGCGTCCCGCCAGTCCTCCCGCTCTTATCCGCACAGGTGTGGCGTTGGATTTATCAACAGAGGAGTGCGAAGGGGGACACGGGGGAGCTGCCGTGAATAGAAGTGTGACCTCAGAGCGACGGGGGGAGAATGACTCATTTGCGCTGCGTTTGTCGGCTGAAGCTTCGTCGGCTGAACCTTCGTCACTGACGGGGCCTCCGGCTGAAGATGTCTTCATCCGGGGGGGTTTCATTTGCTCTGTGGAAAGTGGGTCCACGGATTTGATGGAGGAAAACATTTGTTCTGAAGCCCAAAATCAAGGGAATCAGGCGATGGCTTTGGATCTGTGCTTGACCGCGGAAGAGGTGCACGACGAGGAAACTTGGGACCTGAAACCTGGGCCGGATGTCCAGAACGGGAGTGTCCTCCATCCGAGCGACGAGGAGAGGACGACGGACGGTGACCGGCTCGACGGGACCGATTGCCGCGAAGTGGCCTCATTCGACTTTTCAGTCGAGGATTTACACGCGTCTTCTCCTGAGGCCGGATGGACTAGTGAGCAAACTGTGGAGACCATTTCTCTCTCCAAGATGGTGGTAGACGACTCGCTGCCAATGGTCTCGGCTGTGAATGCGAGGGAGGAAGACGCCTCCCCGCTAAAAGCTGTGTTCGATGCTTTAGACCAAGACGGAGACGGCTTCGTCCGGATTGAGGAGTTCATGGAGTTTGCTGCCGCCTACGGGGCCGATCAGGTGAGATGCTATCGGGTAATGCATTAATGCCTGCCGAGTGGCGCTCTGTTTAACGCTCCATACACGTGAAGGATTCAAAATAGATTTTTCTTTTTCTTTTTTCACACTCAACTTGTTCCAGATCTTTCATCCCAAAAGTAAAGCGAGTCAATGGCGTCCAATTTGCGCATAGAGTTCACCACACAACACTTGATTCAGTGGGGTAGATTTGGCTAATCCCTCTGCATATTATTCAAACCGTGCCTGGATTAGCTGGCCGCTATATTTGGTGAGTGTCTGGATTTGGGTTATCATCCAGATAAATCTGTCAAGCACATTGGCTGTGAGGAATTCTCTGCAGCCCGGCAGTCCTCCATATGCCAAACGCTAATTGTCCCATTTGCATTTGGGGATAATCCCTCCGCCCACCATCACCCATTTGTTGCTCACGAGCCTTTTGTGAAATAGTGAAGAGAAACCCAACAACTCCTGTGAATGAAAGTAAATCATTGGATGTGATAAATTGGGTTGTATTATAATTGATAGTCTTACTTGGTTGATCGGCATTTCTTTATATCAGCAGCGAAAGGGCTGTTGGCTTAATTCATTATTTAATCTATGTAGAGTTATTAAGTAAACTGTAGTACATCCTTTCAGGGTGCTGGGTTTAGTCTTAAAACGAAAGCTCATTTCACACAATCGACATTTAACTCTGGTCTCACATGAGTAAAAATCAGTTTCCTTTCCTGTTGCTCGTCTGTCTGTTTGTTTACAAGAATCCGACTGAGTTTCAGTAAGCGATCACACACCATTTGCAAATAAGATTAAAGGGTAGGATGCAAACAACGATGTAACCCAACCGCTGCCGAAATAAACAGAACCCTCAAGCGTGCCCTAATGAACAATTAGGAGGAATCTTTTTAAACGGATTTATTTCCTAATCAGGCAATGAGACCCATCAGTATTTATACAGCATGTGGAAAATGTTGATTTTAGACCTGGTGCAGCATATTTATTTTTGTAACATAGAAAATGAATCTAAAAAGTTTTTCAGATGTTCTTTGAACAGGTCTTTTGGATGAGGGTGTTCAGTTGTTCACACACACACACACACACACACACACACACACACACACACACACACACACACACACACACACACACACTGTGTGACGCCGGCTCACTAATGCTTTTTAATCCCTTCTCTCCCGGTTCAAAGCGCCTCTGGTGCCGCTGACCCGTCCCGTGTCTAGCCGTAGGTATCTGCGGGGACTTGTGAAGGATTAGGAGTAAAATGTATTTCCCTGAGTCAGAGGGGGGGGGGTCCACGGTTCGCTGCCCATTGGCCTGACGGTCGGCACAGAGGAGCAGCTCTTTTTGTCCTGTTGGCTTAACGTAAATCATTCCCACCTGTTGTTTCACCGGGCGGCGCTGAAGGTGAGTCATTTACGACAGCGGTGGAGGGGGGGGGGGGGGGGGCTGGTTTCGTTCCAGGTATTGATCTGTTGTGGTCGCTGAGTTTCTTCTGCCTCAGTCCAGCAGCTTCCTCCGGACGTTTGTTTCTTCGCAGCGTTCCGTAGACGGCTCCCCCGGATCGATCACCTGGGTGGCGTTTTTATTTCTTTGCCGTGGGACGCCCGGTTTGCTGGAGCTTGATTTGTGCTCTCGCAGGAACCTCCTCTCCGATTTCCCTCCCCCGCGGTCACAGACAGGCGGCTTCGGCGTGTTATTCTCTCTCGTTTGCAATAGGTCAGCATGCAGGAGACGGAGTCATCTTCACAATTTGTGGAATGTTGTAATATGCAAAGTGAGGTCTGATCCAACAAGGCCGAGACGCAGCCAAAGTCACACCGCCAATGGTTCACTCTTCTCATATCTGCACACGTGTGCTATTTCATATTTGCGTTAGCTTTGCCCCGCTGTGTCCTTGGTAGTTCAGTCGGCTGGCGATAAAAGTGGTTTGAATAACTTCCCCTCTTGCAGATAACTGAACTATACTGTGAACCACAGGGGTTAAAAAATGATTTTAGCCGTGTGGTTGAGGAAACCACAAGGAAATAGGTCAAACCAGCTCATGAGGACATCTATAAAAAAACATTTTAAAACAACATGTGGCTAGTAGAGACGTAGTGGTTTCACCTTTTAGAAGGTATAATGTTTTATTTCAGTGATTAATAATGATTGTTGAACCTGTCTGAAGGAGGCGGGCCTTAGAGGGAGCTTTGTCATTCTATTTACGTCGTCCTTGTTTAGTTGCAGGCGTGTGTTGTAATGTGTACCACTTTGCAAATATACCAGTCGCTTATCAGACACAACAGCAAGGTAGTCATGAGCTATTTGCATGTGTGCTAAGCTAAGCAAATGTTTCCTCCGGGTACATCATGTGGCTTTGAATGTCCGCAGCGTGTAATGCAGACACGCCGCCTGTGGTGTGACAACGGTCAGATTCCGCGCCTTTAAACACCAAGTCGGCCGTCATGATTTCCTGTCCTTTTCCAGTGTCTTGAGAGAAAGACGTGAAATGTCCCGGCAGGCTGGTGCCAAATCTTCCGATTCAGCTTTTTAAAAGTTCATTCGCCGCACCGCCCGCTGGTTTTGACCCAGATTCTTGCACAAAAGCCACATCGAGGTGCATTGTGGTCGCGTCTGTCTCCTGTCAGCCGACGCTCCCGTCCCCACTCCGGCCGGCCGCCCTGCCCATCACCCGCTGCTTTCACGCACGGCCCCTCTAATCCATAACGGAATGTCCCGTGGCCCGAAACGTCCGCTCCCCTCTCTCCTTTGCGTGCAAACGTTTTATACCCTAAAACCATTCTACCGTTTCGTTTTGTCCCCCCCCCTCCCTTGCTGCTCGCGCTCTTGGTTTATGATCATAGTTGTGGGTTGATTTATTCTTTCTGCACTATTGTGAAACCCCCTCCAGGAAAGTCTCTCACCAAAGGGTATTCTTCCCCCGGGGGTCCCCCAAAACGGCGTTTTGTGGGGGGGCGTTCAGGGGTCCCCCCCCCCCCCCCCCCCCGGCACCCATTGCACACAAATAGAGGAAACAGAAAAAACGCACAGTGCCTTTCGCTGCTCACACAGTTGTTTTTAATCTTCCTGAACAGTCTCTCTAGGCTTTGCTCGGTATCTGTAACAATGCAAATTATTATGACGTAAAACAGTTTCTCTAGAACAGTGTGTGATGTCTTTTTCATCAGACGAGGGACAAACAAACAAGAATCGATTCTTATCCGGAAAGGATCATCTTAATAGTGTGTGTACAGCCGTTGGTACATTTTTAGGTTGCAAAAACGTGGTGTCAATAAACTGTGGGATTATACAGCAGACGGCATGTAAAACATACACACTAACAATAAAAAACAGTGCATTCAGTTAGTGAAACAAAGTACATCTGGGGAGGGAGGCTGTGCACTTTAACGGCTGCGGAGAGGCACAAATACCCCCAGAGTGAGATCCCATTCAGCGGTAGTTTGTAGGTCAGGCCCATAATAGCCATCGGGCTCCGCTCAGGAGACCCGAGGGACCGGGCCAACGGGCCTCCTGCTCTGATGTGTGCCACGCGTCGCTCTGACCGAGGTTTCGTCCGGCCTGTTGAGTCGTATGCCACTACGCTGCAGCTGGGAGTAAATCGCTGCTCGTTACGTAAAACGCTCATCTCTCAGTTCCCCCACACCCCCCGGGGGAGCTTCACGGAACAAACCTTTACTTCCTGTGAGCTTTGCGGTGCTCCGTTGACAAGCGGAAAAAAGTGAATGCGGCATTCTAACGCCCGCCGGCGAGCAGGTTTCTCCACCAGCCGCCCTTCAGCCTACGCAGCAACCTCCTGTGCCTCATGGAAAGGTTGAGGATATCTGAGATGGCCCTGCCCCCCCCCCCCCCTCCGCCCCTCTAACTGATATGAGAAAGTGTCAACGAAAAGCCGCACTCTCGCCGCTGGCTTCTGCAGGAAGCCAAAACCACAGAAACCTCGCCGACACAATTTCAGGCTCCTTTTGTCAGCGACTTAAATTTGCCTGTGACGATGTGTTGCTGTAGTGCGGGGAAGCGTGTGCGTAAATAGAGTGTGATGGCTCTGCAGATACGGGCGCGTGTTTGGTACCCGGGCCAGAACTCTGGGAGCCAGGTAGTCGTAGTTGACACCGCTGTGTGTCACAGGTGAGGCCTCCGGTCCGGTTAGATTTCCTTAAATCTGTTTTGAATCTACAGGGAATGTTTACCTGAGGTGCACTGTTGTTGTTTTCATGCTCCGATGTCCTGTAGTCACTGAAGTGCTCACCCGTCTGTTGCCAGGTTACTGACTGCAGGTGAACAGAGTGGTGTAGGTGAGCTTATGTAACCCATCGGACAGGTTTCTGTGCCTGAAGGGGCTGTATCGCTTTATAATAGCTGCATAAGTAAATGTGCAAGATTAAAAGATCCTAAACATTAATTTCCCTGGCGACAACAAGTCATCTGCAACTGTGACACTTTCAAGCCCATTTTTATTTCTTCTTTTAAGGCTTTAACCTTTGCACACTTCTGGTAAACACACTATTGCCCCGAATGCATGTTTTTATTGATCTCCTCGCTCATAATTCTGTAGTAAAACTGTCATGTCAGCGAAGCGAGCCCAAGAAAAGAGTTGTTTTTAGCAGTAGTAGTTTTATGTAGCTTATGTTTAGCTCAAGCACAGGTTCTTATGTGTTGTTCCATTGAAGTCAGTATGAAAGCACTGCAGCGTTTACCCGGTATTCTGTATGACGTCATCTCACAGCATCGAGGCAAAGCCAATGAGACTCTTTATGGGGGAGGGGATCTCTTCTGTCGCCTCACTTCTGAATGTTGTGTTACTCTTGTCTTTCAGGTGAAGGATCTGACCAAGTTTTTGGACCCCAGTGGACTGGGAGTGATCAGCTTTGAAGACTTCCACCGTGGAATCTCTGCAATCAGCAATGGAGGTGAGTCACAAAGGCGTCGTCGCCGTTGAGCATTTGACGAGCCGAGAAACGTACCAACTGAACATATTGGGGCTCAAAAATCTGGTGTTTCTGTCGAACCTGCTGCTGACCCAGTTCCACAACAGCCTCCGCAGCAAACCCCTGCACCCGCATTTGCTCTCCAGCATCCGTTTATTCCCCCACGGCGCCTCATATTGTCCATCTCCCGGCTGCCGCGAGGCGTTTTTAAAGGCAACGAAGGAGACCGACCCAAATTCCACTAATACGAGATGGATAAGCCCCGCCCCCCAAAAGAGTAATGGCCCTTCGGCAGGGGCCCAGCCGGCCCATCGATACGAGGCCCCCCTCCCTCCCTCTCTGTCTGCGTTGAGCTGCTCCGGTTACTCAACTCGCCGTTAATAAGTGATGGCCTGGACACAGACACACGGGCTCGCCGGCGAGGTTCCAGGGAGATGGGGTTCGGGCGGAGAGTCCAATTCGCCTAAATGATTCAGCGCCCTCGCTCCGTGTGCCCGGGGGCCGCTCCGTGACACCCGTCACTCGCTGCCGTGGAAAGTCTGATCACACGGTCTGTCACAAGCTCTTCTTCCACCATCACCAATCTGAAGCTGACAAATTCCATCGCCGGTGGCGTCACGTGGTCGGAATCCAGCCGGGGGCGGCGGGGGGGTCGCTCTCTTTCTGCGTTTAGCTGGTTTTCCCGTCAGTGTGTGAAAAACAGACCTGTAGTGTAACTTCCCAGGTCCTTCACACGCGGCTGACAGAATTCCACCCCATTGTAAAGGGAGAGGGGGGAGGTGGGAGGTGGGGGGGGCAGTACAGAGACTGTGCTCCCTATGGCTGTTAGGCTGTGGTCAGAGGGGGGAAATCCTCCACCAGCCTCCAACCTGTTTGCAAAATAAAGTTCTTTGCACTGCACCTTCTTTATAATTGGATTCCTTTCGCCACCCGTTACTGGCGGGGATAAGACGTCCCCCCACCCCTCCCCCGCCCCAGGCTACGGAAATGCCTCGCCCCCTGCAGTGGCTACGGCATGTCTGGGACAACAAGAGTCTCTTTCGGTAAATATCTCTTGCCCCCCCCGCTCCCCTCCAGGGCCTCAAAGATCCACAGGTGTGTTCGTCAAACAGAAGCCAGCTTTCACGTTCGGCCCGCGATACGTGCACGAGCCTCGAGGAGCAACGGGTTTCACAAGACAGGAGCCCGCATGGCTCTGTTTACCGGATACAGGAGCCAGGCTCCTGCGCTCCCCACAGAGCGCCGCAGGGGCTCTGTGGGGAGACGGTACCTGGATACGGGTTCGCCTCTTCTATTTTATCACATGACCATCTGGAGCACTGGAAATGCGAGTGTGAAAGTTACACAATGTTTAGGGTCACATCCCGCCCGGTGTGCTGTCTGTAAATATGGCCGAGTCGGGCTGTTCGGACTCGCACTCTGAAATGTGCTGATTGAGCAAACACGTTACGAGCCGACGTATCAGTTTGTCGAAGGCCGATATTTACATTATCTATCTGCCTGTGACGCGTTTATTCCTTTGCCAGGAGGAAGTGGATGCTTTGTACTGTGCTTTTATTTAACTGCACTGCAACTTTCCTCAACTAAATGTCCTTTTCCTTTCGCCTTTTATGTTTTAATGGTTTTAAATTGGCTCGTTGTTGAAATGTGCTCTTCAAATGAACTTGCCTTTCCTGGCGAAACAAAGCTCAATGGAAGACTTTATCTGAGAGGACATGACTGCCGATGTTTATTCAGGGTGAAAATTCCTATTTCACGATGAAGACTAAACTCGTGTTGAAAGTAATAATACACACTGTAATCTATTAGATTAGACTAATGTGTGAAACATTCAGTCATGTGCGCTTGTCGTTCTGAGATCCACAGCTTTGCTTTACGATGAAGAGATATTGCTTTTCTTTGGTCACATCATAGATCTCGGCAGACGTTTAGATGAACATTTTAATACTCTTAGCCAGAGTGGGACATGAACAAAAGCAATATCAGCCAGATTGCCGTCTCATTACACGTTTACGTGCTTCAGAAGAAAATGCCCACAGGCTCCCGGAAATTGGATTGTGAACCGGTTCACGATGCGAAAGCCCATTTGATCATTTGTTTGTGAAATGTTTTACAAAGTCTCCCCGTGGCGGGATTTAATGGCGGCATTTAATAAACTCATCCATTATCTCCGTTTGCCTTCCACCCGTTTGCTCCCACGCACACACTGACCCCGCCCCCTTCTGCCCGTCCCACGCACAGGTCCGGAGCCCCCGCTCTACAATGTGAACTACAGTCCGGGCGATGGAGCTGTGGGCTGTCCAGAGGAGTACGACGAGGTGAGTGTGTGTGTGTGTGTGTGTGTGTGTGTGTGCGTGAACTCCCTCTGCACTCTCACTCTTCCCCCTGAAATGGTCCGTGTGGCCAGCAGAGTCATTACCACGCGGCCCGACGCCAAACAGCATCTGGCCGCCGAGGCTCTCGGGTATTCTTTGACAAATATTGAATTAGCTGCAATGCGCCGGCGTTGTTACGTGTGAGCGCGCTCCTGTTTTTACAGTTGCGGTTTAGCATTTCTGGGATTCCTGTCCCCCTCCGGTGCTCGGATCCTGTATATTTAACTGTGATTGTTGCTGTGCTCCACAGAATTGAAATGGTGCACTTTGAGCGTTGCAGGGCGCCGTCAGCGGCCTCTCTTGGCACGCGTTTGAAGCGCAGGCCCATGCGCCGCAGTGGAGAGAAGGAATGAGTTCCAGACGCTTCAGCGACGTGTCATGGCCCTGATGGTTCACGTCATCGGACGTTTTGTCTGACAAAACACGGCGTCATTTGTGGAATATTCAATTCAATTCAACACACAGTGCAGTCTCAGTGTGTTTTTAAAGACTGCTTTGAGGCTCCAGGACACAGAGAAAAGCCGTGTTAACAAGGGAGACCTTTGACCTCTTAAAACAGAGTACCTCCAAGTTGCATTAAGATCATTTGAGTTAAAGTTAATGTAAAATGATCCACATATAAAATCTAAATAGTGATCTTCCTCCTGTGTTTTCTGATGTGTGGCCGCCATTGCGGTTAGTATGTGTATGATACATACGTCAAAGTGCATGTGATGTGTTAAAGCTCGTAAGTGGAGTTTGGGGGAGGTTTGTGTTTACGTTCGAAGTAGACGCCACACCTGCGTCCGTGGCCTTGCCTCTCTGGCAGAAGACGCTTCCTCTCCCTCTCAATGGCCGCGCTGTTCTCGCCCCTGTTTGCTTTGAAAACACTCGCGGCGAAGCCGTTCAGCCCGAGGGCTGGCGCGAGAGGAAAGCGACGCCCCGTCCGCCGCGCTGTCCCTCCAGTAACTGTTTCTATGTCTCCGGTTGGACGGAGCGTCCTGTCGGCACGCGGCCCGGCGGATATGACGTCGGTGCGTCGCCCCTGAATGTGGCTTAGCGGTTTAAAGGGCCGCGCACCGGGCTCCCAGGAGCTGGTTGAGCACTACAGCTGACTTCTGCTACTCTTTGGACTTTGTCTCCGGCTCCTCCCCTCTGACTTCCCCGTGGAGCAGAACGAGCTGTCACCGTATTTTCCTTTTTTTTTTTTTTTTTTTCTTTCTCGCCTTCTCTTCAATCGGAGGTTAGCGAGCATTTGTAGTCCTTAGCTGTCGGGGCAGGTTGGCCTGGCTGGGCAGAGACAATGGTCCTGGGCATGGTGGACAGCCCTCTGGGACCGGCTTCTCTTCTAGACGCTGCATTTCCAACGGTACGTCGTGCCAACGTGACTCGCCACAGCTTTGATATGGGATAATGTGTCTCTGGTCGCTAAACGCTTCAGATGTTCTTTCCCGGCATTTGTGGGCTTTGTGTTGAACGTTTGGTAGTTTAGTTTGAACCGGTCGAGCTTGGAGCAGCCTTCTGATTCACAGCAGACTGACTGAAGTCCGTCGGTGTTCTGGGATTTGATTGGCCGTTGGTGGAATCGGGGTCCGTACCTTCTGGCTGGACTGACGTTTATTTTTATTTTTTTTAATTGGCTTGGTTTCTGTTACACACCTGTAGGTGTTCTCGCTGCCTGTTTCTCAATTTGAAATACGCATTGTGACTTTTCCAGAGTGTGTGAGAGTGTGTACATCCTGTGTATTCTGATCAAAACAAACAGTCACCCGTGTGACTTTCTCAGATCAGTAAGTGACTTTACTGCTCGATGGGCAAACTGTTGACGCGCCTGTTTTATTGTGACTGCAGCAAAATGAGGTGACCGACAGTGCGTACCTGGGCTCCGAGAGCACCTACAGCGAGTGCGAGACCTTCACCGATGAGGACACGGGGGCCCTCGTGCCGCCCGAGATGCACGAGGACGTGGAGACGGACAGCGGCATCGAAGCCGCGCTGCACGACCCCGAGGACGGCGGAAACAGGTCGGTGTACATTTCACTGTGTGCACATAATCCCGATATCCCAAAGTGAAGGGTTAAGTTTATTAGGGATTATCTCACTCTGTTCTGATGAGGTTAAGTGGTGTTAACTACATTAACTCCCATCAGCACCAGCACTGCTTCCTCCAAGCGTCCATCTAGAAATCGTAGTAAATGCGCTCTACTGATTCTGGCTCTTTGGAAATGTGCTGAAGTGATGAGCTGGATGGATGGATGGATAAGTGGCACCACAGTGAACCAGATCTGATGATAAAGTAGTGAAGCAATTTGGATTTGGACCAATTATGTGACTCATATCATATCTCAATGTGCAAATGTCGCTTTTGCACCAGGCGGGTTGCAAGATTTGTGAATGTTAGATATTGTAAGATATTGTTCTTTCTGCAGCGTCATCTTGATTTGAATGTGGCCTCACCGAGTTGGTGCAGTCGGGGTCTTTATGCCTGTGCGTGCACCTTCTTCTTGATAAAGTACAAAGGGCAAAGACACGGGACGAAGTGCAGAGAACCGAGGCCTCATCTGCTGACGCTGCCACCCGTCCGTCCGGCTCGGTGTCGGCGTGGAGCGGCCTGCTTGACGGGGGGGGGTCGTTCGGACTTCCTATTCCACCATTGAGCCTTGAATTCCAGGAAGTGTCGAGTCTGCGTTTTTTTCTGTTTTTTCGACCTTTTCGTCTTTTTTTTTTTTTCCCGGGACGCGGGCTGATCTCATTGTCTCCCCTCCAGTTATTCAAACCACTGCCCTGCTGACGGGAGCAACAGCCCTCTATGACCTTTACCCACGCCGCAAAAAATAAATTACGGAGTCCATGTCAACAAAAAGCATACGAGGAAGCAGAGGCCCAGCTAACCTGAGCCGTACATGCACCGCACACGGGATTAAGAGTTTTAACAGGATTAGCCTCCCCCCCCCTCCTCTGTCTCACCCATGTCCCTAGCGCGCATTCGCCCCCGCCCGGTCGGTCAGCGGAACGGTCTGTCGGGCCGTCGCTTAGCCTCAAATCTGATTAACCCGCTCGCGGTCTCCCTGCCACGGCCATATCGCGTCCTTCGGGCGGCACAAGGCGCCGCGGCCGCGCAGCGCTGACTGGCAGCCGATCACAGCCGGCCGCAGGGAAGCGAAGCTTTTTGTTCTCCTCCCAGCTGGAGACCTGCAGAGGGTTTTTTGGGGGGGGGGGGGGTTGTTTTTCATCGGCGTGGCCCGTGAGACTTCAGAATTCCGCTGTGGTTGTCCGGCGTCGTGACTCCAGTTGTCCCGCGGCTTTCACGCCGGGGCAGTGGAGGGCGTCCGAGGATGCGTTCTCTCTCCTCGCCGTCCATCTGTGTGAGGGATCTGCCAATGGGGCCAAGAAGTAACAGCCTGATGAAAGGGTGAGTCGCCCCCAAAAAGCCCTTTTTATTTCCCCGGTTGAGCCCCGTGTTTGCAGCGTCGTCTTCTGAAGAGAGACGGACGGCGGCGAATAGTGTTTTTGTTTAGCGACCCAGGGTGGGATTTCCGGTTTTCCTGCTGTAAATCAAGGCGATGCTTCGGCTTTGAGTCGGTTGTCATGAAAACAAGCCGAGTGGGGTTTTCTGTCACCGTGTGCTGAGGAGGAAAGCGTTTCTGCTGATTTGGACATCCTCGTCCTGTGTGTGCCAAAGGCATCCAGCACATCCTGTTAGACCGAGACCTGTTGCAGATCTCTATTCAGACAGGACTTTATTCTACCGAATCCACACATCCGGCCCGCGGAGTTTGGTCCAGTTGTGTAAAATAAGCCGATTGTGAGGGTCCCGATAACGAGCCCCTCTGTCGGGGCCTCAGGAGAACATCAAACTGCCACGTGGTTCGGCATCACAAAGCGAGGCACGCGGCGCTGCGTTTCAGCCGAAGCAGACTTTGGGATTAATGTGAATTAGCAGATTACCTCTTGGGAGA